CAAATCATAAAACAGCCTCTAGACAAACTTAAAAGAGATTGACTCTAACATTATCATAGCTGAGGACTTTAATATCCCACTCACAACCCTAGACAGATCATCAAGACAAAAAATCAGCAAGAAGACCCAGAACTTCAATGAGACTCTTGAACAAATAGGCTTGATACCTACAGAACACTCCACCCAATGACCACAGAATATACGTTCTACTCATCCCCACATGGAACGTACTCCATGATTGACCATATCATTGGCCATAAATCAAACATAAACAAATTTCATAAGATTGAAATCCTGCCATGTACCTTCTCAGACCACAGTGAAATAAAAATAAATATCAACACCACAAAATTCCCCCAAAACCCACAATAAACACTATGATGCTAAGCAACTCCTGGGTCAATGATGAAATCAAAACAGAGATTAAAAGGTACCTGGAAACAAATGAAAATGAAGAAACATCTTAACAAAACCTTTGGAGTGTCATGAATGAACAGTTGTAAGAGGGGAATTCATATCATTACAAACACACATGAAGAAAATGGAAAGCTCACAAGTTAACAGCCTAACAAGTCACCTAAAGAAGCTGGAAATGCAAGACCACCAAAACCCTAACTTCAGCAGAAGAATCCAGATCACCAAAATAAAAGCCCAAATCCAGCACACAGAAGATAAACAAGATAATACAAAAAATCAATGAAACAAAAAGCTGGTTCTTTGAAAGGATAAGCAAAATAATGGTCCCCTAGCCAGAGTGACCAAGAAAAAGAGAGAGAAAGCCCAAATAAACTCAATCAGAAACACAAAAGATGAAGTCACAACTGACCCTGAAGAAATACAAAAGATTATAAGAGACTACTATTTACACTTGTATGGAAACAAACCTGAAAACGTAAAGGAAATGGAGGAATTTCTGACATCATAAAACCTCTCCCTAGGTTGAAACAAGAAGAAACTGAGACCTAAAACAGACCAACAACAATCAAGGAAACTGATTATGCCATAAGAAAACTACCTACCAAAAAAAGTCCTGGACCAGATGACTTTCCAGCAGAATTCTACAAAACATATAAGGAGAAACTGATACCAATCCTACTGAAAGTATTCCAGGCGATTGAGAAAGATAGAACTCTCCCCAAATCATTTTATGAAGCTAATATCACATTGATACCCAAGCCAGGTAAAGACCCAAAAAAGGAAGGGAACTTCAGGCCAATATCTTTGATGAACATAGATGCTAAAATTATCAACAAGATCCTAGCAAACCAGATTCAACAACAAATCTCAAAAATCATCCACCACGACCAAGTAGGCTTCATTCCCAGGATGCAAGGCTGGTTCAACATTCATAAGACCATAGATGTAATTAAATACATCAATAGATGCAAAAACAAAAACCACACGATTATATCATTAGATGCAGAAAAAGCTTTTGATAAAATCCAGCACCCCTTCTTGAAAAAACCCTTGAATATCTAGGCATAGGTGGAACATACCTCAAAATAGTAAAAGCCATCTACGAGAAACCCACAGCCAGCATACTCCTAAATGGACAAAAATTGGAACCATTTCCCCTGAAAACTGGAACAAGACAAGAATGCCCACTCTCACCCCTCCTGCTCAATATAGTATTGGAAGTCCTGGCTAGAGCAATCAGAGAAGAGGAGGCAATCAGGGGTATCCAAATAGGCAAAGAGGAAGTCAAGTCATCTCTCTTTGCTGATGACATGATTGTGAACCTTGAAAACCCAAGCGAGCTGGGTTCGGTGGCTCAGCCTGTAATCCCACGCCTTTAGAAGGCTGAGGTGAGTGGATTGCCTGAGCCCGCGAGTTTGAGACCGCCTGGACAACTTGGCAAGACCTCATCTCTACAATAAATCAAAAAATGAGCCAGGCATGGTAGCGCGTGCCTGTAGTTCCAGCTACTTGGAAGATTGAGGCGGAAGGATTGCCGAAGCCCAGTAAGTCAAGGCTGCGGTGGCCAGGAACGGCCACTGCACTCCAGTCTGGGTGACAGAGTGAGACTCCAACTCAAAAGAAAAAAAAAAAGAAAGAAAACCCAATAGAATCTGTCAAAAACCTCTTTACACTGATAAAGGACTTTGGCAAAATCTCAGGATATAAAATAAATGTGCAAAAGACAATTGTATTTCTTTACACCAATAATAAACAAACAGAAACCCAAATAAAAAGCACAATTCCATTCACAATAGCCACAAAAAAAAGAAATACCTTGCATCTTCCTAACCGGAAATGTGAAAGACCTTTATAATGAAAACTATAAAACACTGCTCAAAGAAATCAAAGATGACACTAACAAGTGGAAAAATATTCCATGCTCATGGATTGGAAGAATCAACATTGTTAAGATGTCCATTTTACCTAAGGCAATCTTTAGATTTAATGCAATAACCATCAAATTATCAGCAACATTCTTCTCAGACATAGAATAAACAATACAGGAATTCATACAGAAACATAAATGATCAAGAATAGCCAAAACTAGCCGGGCCCATTGGCTCAGCCTGTAATCCCGCACCTTTGGGAGGCTGAGGTGAGTGGATTGCCTGAGCCCGCGGGTTCAAGACCCACCTGGGCAGCGAGACCTCATCTCTACAATAAATCAAAAAATCAGCCGGGCGTGGTAGCACATGCCTGTATTCCGGCTACTTGGAAGGCTGAGGTGGAAGGATCGCTGGAGCCCAATAGGTGGAGGCTGCGGTGGCCGGGACAGCCACTGCACTCCAATCTGGGTGACAGAGTGAGACTCCAACTCAAAAAAAATAAAAAAAAGAATAGCCAAAACAATTCTCAGCGGAAAAAAAAAAAAAAGCAGGCGGTATCACACTCCCAGACTTTAGACTATATTATAAAGCTACAATAATCAAAACAGCCTGATATTGGTACAAGAACAGGCATATGGACCAATCGAATAGAATTTAGATTCCAGAAGTAAAACCTCAATCTCAGCCAACTCATCTTCAACAAGACTCCACCACCCACTACTGGGGAGAGAAGAACCTATTCAATAAATGGTGCTGGGAAAACTGGCTGGCCACATATAGAAGATTAAAACAGGATCCCTACCTATCCTCAAACATGAAAATTAACTCTAAAAGGATCACAGACCTAAATGTAAAACCTCTAACTGTAAGAACTTGGATAGTGCAGGAGACCCTCTTATGGAAGTTGGAACTGGCAACCAATTTCCGATCAAAACCCCAAGTGCCCAGGCCATAAGAGATAAGATAGACAAGTGGAACCTTACTAAACTGACAAGCTTCTACAAAGCCAAAAAAACCATCAAGAGAGCAGGGAGACAGCCCACAGACTGGGAAAAAATATATGCCAACTCCATGTCTCACAAAGGCCTAACATCAAGGAACTACAAGGAACTCAAACATACTGAAAAGAAAAAACCAAACAGCCCTATTACAAAGTGGGCTAAAGATATGAATAGATACTTCTCAAAAGAAGACATAAGAGCAGCCAACAGATACATGAAAAAATGTTCAGCCTCACTAGTCATCAAGGAGATGCAAACTAAGACTACACTGAGATACCACCTAACTCCGTCAGAATGGCCATCATCAATCACTCA